ATAGTACTTTATACTGTACTACATCTCAGAGGTACATATAGTACTTTTCAGTGTCTTTTCCTTAAAAACATGAACTGTTGCAGACTGGAGATGAGGAAGAGGAGGAGGAGGAGGAGGAGGAGCTTCACCTTTCACAGAGAAGCAATGAAGCCTCCGGTGATTCTGTGATGAAGAAAAGTGATGAAGCCGGACTCGACTCAAGGTAATTTAAAAATAATCATTCTGCGAAACAAGTACTTTTACTTTATGGTTCTTTTGAGGCTCATACTTAAATATAATATAGAACTTTGAATTACGACTGAAAGTACTTCTTCTTCCACTGGTTTGATTCAGACACACGTTTGAATTAGTATTTCTGTGTTTTTTTAAATTCTCTACTTGAGTTTGTTGTCATTTATCGTAAACAAATAAAATATTAAAGTTTCTTTCTTCAAAAAATCACATTTATTCACTAAAATGACTGTTTCTTTTAAGTTAAACACCAGAAAGCTTTTATTTATTTAGCTATTTAAACCCTCGAGACAAACAAACCAGTGTCATCCTACTCGCACTGCAGATCATAAGACATACTGACACTCAAAGTAATCTATTACTTTTTGCTCCACATCAGCCCAGTTCAACATGTAGAAGGTAACAGAGCGGAAACAAAGGAAGACGCTGCTGCTGATGTAGACGCCGCTGCTGACGAGGACGGAGGCGATTTGTTGGACGGAGACGACGACTGGGAACCCGATTCGCCGCGGACGTCGAAGAGGAAGAGGAAGCGAGGAGCCAAAGCGTCCGGCGTGGAGCGGAAGTTGATCTCGAGCAGTAAAACGCCCTGTAAAGTCTGCGGGGTTTGGTACAGGACACGAGGCAGTTTAATCAAACACGCCTGGAGCCACGTGGATGAGCCGCGGTGCATCTGCGGAGTGTGCGGCGAGCGCTACGAGTCCGCGGACGACTTGAAGGCACATCTCAAAAAATACCAAAAAACCCACGAGTGCTCGTACTGCAGGAAGTCCTTCCTCACCGTCACCGGCCTCAAGTGCCACACCACCCTCCACACGGGAAACAGGCCGTTCAAGTGCGACGTCTGCGGCAAGACCTTCGCTCACATGTCCAGCTTGAGTAACCACCGCTGGGTGCACGTGGAGGAGAAACCGTACAAGTGCGCCGTCTGCCCGAAGGCATTTGGCCTGAGGGCTCAGCTCCAGGCCCACGTCAAGGTGCACACGGGCCGAGACCGGTACCACTGCTCTGTCTGCGGGAAGTCGCTGTACGACCTGCGCTCCCTCACCCGCCACAAGGCCACGCACTCGGGGGAGCGGCGCTACGGCTGCGACGTCTGCGGGAAGCGCTTCAAACTCTCGTGCACGCTTAAGTCTCACGAGAAGACGCACGCGGCGAGGGAGCGGCCGTTCCTCTGCCACGTCTGCTGCAAGACCTTCCTCTCCAACTGCGGCCTGACGGCGCACATGCGGACGCACAGTGGCGAGCGGCCGTTCGCTTGCGGCGTCTGCGGTAAAGGCTTCGTGTCCAACGGCGAGCGCAAGGCGCACACGCGCGTGCACACGGGCGAGGCGCCGTACGGCTGCTCGGAGTGCGGCCGCTTCTTCAAGCGCAAGACCCACCTGAGCAACCACGTGAGGAGCCACCTGGGCATCAAGCTGTTCGTGTGCGCCGTGTGCGGGAAGCCGTGCTCCCGCCAGGAGCACCTGACGGTCCACATGAGGACGCACAACGGGGAGAGACCCTACCAGTGCACCGTCTGCGACAGGGCCTTCACGCAGAGCCACTGTCTGAAGACGCACATGAAGAGCCACGGGGGAGCGGGGGGGGACGCGTGCCTGAACGCACCGTGAAGGTCTGAGAGGAAGACGAGACCAGAACACAGTTTGTTTGTTTTTAAACGGAGCAAAACAAACTTTCAGAAGTATCACGATACCGATCCACATGAGCCGATACCGATCGTTTTTGTTGTATTGTTTTTGTTCATAACAGCTGATCCACAGGACCGTCCCAAAAATCATTCAAACTGCTCTGAAGTCAGTTAAACCATCAAAAACTCTAAATGTTTTACTTTGTTAAAATCATCTTTAGCTATTATTTACATAAAAACACACAATTCAAATTATCGGGCAATAACGTGAACACATCATGATGACGTTAAAATGTACTTTGATGGTTAAACTGTGAAGTTAAACTTCTCACACGGTCGCTTCTTCAAAAAACGAAATAATCATCTCAGAATTCTAACATTTTAGAACTTCGGCTTCTTTTTGTTAAATTGAAAAAGTGAATAAAATAGTTTTTGGTGTTTTTACCTGAAAGAATGTCAAACATCACTCGGCTCTACTTTTTAATAAATAAATACAAATAAATATAAAAAACTTCTCGAACAATTCATCGGTTAGTTAATCAATATAACAGTAATGAAACGTGGATATTAACAGTCGTAGTGATTGTATTTGTATTACATTGGAAGTAGTATTTAAGGAAACAAGTTTGTTAATTATTCGTTTTAATCAGCTGTTCTCTGATTCCAGCGTCTCTAATTTAAAGAAAAATAACTTTTAATCCGAATATATAAAATATAATTCATCTGTTTCGGTTTATTCGTTAAAATTAGTAAAATTGTTCGATCAGATTGTTAAACAGCTTCGTGTGTAGTTCACTTGTATCGACTTCGTGGTGCATTCACAGCCTCCAGGTCGTGTGACGCTCACAAACAGAAATTCATTCAACTGTACAGCGATTTTATTTCTTACATGTTTTACTTGACTTCCTGTTTTAATAAAAATAGAGAAACATTTAATTAGTTAAATGTTTTTATTCTCGTTCCACTGTTTTCATAAAGGCGTGTATTTAAGGTTGCATTCAGGGCAACTGGGAAATGTGATGTTTCCTCAAACTGAGTTGTTTAAACTCTGTGAAATGATTTCTAATTGATTTCTACAAATGTGCTTCCTTGATGAATGTGACATCAGAACACTTTCAAATCCCACGGGGCCCTGAACACAGCATTTGTTGCCTTGAAGTGCATGTTTTCCTCAACAGAAATTATCCAACTATTAACCACAAAAAGCTGTTTGTGACCGAAATAAACTTCATTCTGTGGAAAAACAATTTATCCCATTTATGACGTTTTGTGAGTAAAAGTGTCAGCACGCGGTACAAAGTACATTTACCACAAGTTTGAGGTACTTTTACCTGAGTGTTTTCTTTTCATGCTACTTTCTACTTTTCATTTATCTGACGGCTTTATGTACTTTTTAGATTGTTATCAAAACTATCAGAACATCTGTTGGTTCCAGATTGAATACTGTTAATGTACATATACGTTTACTGAAGTAACAATTTAAATTTTTTGATATTAATACTTACTTATCGTAGTAACGTCGACGGCCCTTTATTTTAGAATTTATTCATTTTCAAAACTGTAAGTTGTCATTTACGAACCAACGATATACAATAATAAATAGATTTTTGTTGCACTAAAATCAGGATAAATTGGGTAATTTGCACAAAAAAGGGGGTTTTCAGGGTGTCTCCGTGGTGCGTTCAGGGGAGCTCCAGCATGTCGTGTTCGGCCAGGATTCGCTGAGTTTGCGTGTGCACAAGCACGAGGGCGTTAATGATGGCGTGCAGGACGGGCGTGGCCTCCCGCTGGCTCTGCACGCAAACCAGCTGTAGGAAGTAGCGTCGGTCCGGCAGAGCGAGGAAGACGAACTCTGCAGCTTGACGGAGCACCCAGGGGTGGTGGGGGGCCAACGCCACCATGTAGGCAGCCCTGAGGGGGGGGGGAGAACGATACCATGATGTCATGACCTGTTAGCTTAGCGTCAGTGTGTTAGCATGGTGTCATGATCTGGAACCTGTTAGCTTTAGCCTCAGTCTGTTATTATGTCGCTACCTGCTCAGCTCTCCAGGTGTTCTGTACCGTCCGTCGGCGTCCGGTCCTTCAGCCAAACCCTCCAACATGAGCTTCAACCACAGCAGAGACCGATGCAGCCGCAGCAGCGTCCGGCAACCCGAGTCCGTCCGCCGCGAGAAGTCCACCACGCCATCTTTTAGCTCCGCCTCCACCATGGAGCGAACCGACCGATTCGCCTCCAAGAGGAAGAAAGAATCAGCCGATAACTTCATACAATCCCCCCCCACGTTTTTTTGCGGCACTCACCCCGATTTGTAGTCCAGAGCTGTCAGGTGGACCACGTTTCCCATGAGCCCCCAGGCTGCGTTTGAGCGACAGCTCTCTTATCAGCGCGACTTTTTCCCTCACTTTGTGAGAAAAGAAACCGGCCATCGTCCCGAGAGACTCCATGAACCTGAAAGAGAGATTTAAAGTTTGGACGATGCTACTGCTATCTAGAAACGGAGGAATTTGTAGTCAGTTTGTAGTCCGGGGATGTATTGACCAATCACGTCTGAGCAGGCTTTAAAGTGAAGTCAAAGCTTCATGTATTAAAGCTGCATTCTCTCTAGTGTCCACCAGGGGGCGACTCCTCTGGTTGTATAGAAGTCTATGAGAAAATGACTCTACTTCTCTCTTGATTTATTACCTCAGTAAACATTGTAAACATGAGTTTATGGTCTCAATCTCTAGTTTCACGTCTTCTTCAATACAGCATGATGTTCATTTAGTACATTATGGTCCATTTAGAGTCACACAGACCATAAAGCAGGGGATGCTTTAGGGCGGGGCTACTGTGATTGACAGGTTTCTACCAGAGACGTATACGGCATCTCTACGTCACTCCTCAGTCCAGATATGGTCACTTCCTGTTCACTGGTTGCAAAAAGCTAAGATGGCGACAGAGTTAGGCTAGCTGTTTCCCCCCGTTTCCAGTCTTTATGCTAAGCTAACCTAGCTTCATATTTTGCAGACATGAGGGAAGAAAATAATTAGTTTAAAATTGTGTACTTGAGGAGCTGATCCCAGCTCTGCAGGTACGGCTCCAGCAGGACGTCGTTGGCGTTCTCCAGGCTGGACTTTAAATACTGCAGCAGACGGCCGGCCTGAAACGATTGGCCGGGACACTCCGGTATGAGGGGCGCGGCTTCCGCCCCCTCCTTAGGTACCAATAGAGGCTGAAAGACACAGAAAGACACACAAGAGTTTATCGTGTTTATCTCGATATCCGTACCTAATTTATTTTCAGAATTCATGACATCTTATTGGTTTGAGATGAGTTACGTAACATGTTTAAATGTAAACACAGACGTGTGTTCGTCTCACCGTTTGGCGGTAAAACTTCAAACATGGCTGCCAAGAGCCGCCACAGTCTCTGACTCCGCCCTGAGCTGAAGGACGACAAACAGGAACCAGAATACAACTGGTGGTTATTCTCAGGAGTCAGGAGTCCTAACGTCTAAGGCCTGCTATTCATTATGAGTAACTTTGTTCATAATAATATTCATAATTTAATCCATGATCACAGCTGTCATCATCTTACTACTTTGTTTTTACATATGTGATCACATGTAATGACTCAAACACTGAATAATAACAGCAGAAGAAGTAAACCGACCCTTTAATCAAGTAAAAGTACTAATGCCACGATGTTAAAGTCCTGTGTTTAAAATCCTCCTGACGTAAAATGTACTTCAGTATTATCAGCTGAATGTACTCAAAGTACTTAAAGTAAAAGTACCGGTGAGGAAATAAATGAAACGATTAAGAAGTAAACTTAATAACTTGTTTATCAGGTCACAGTACGAGTATGAAGTAGCAGAAAACAAAAAGTACAAGTACCTCATGACTTACTACTTCTCAAGTACTTGAGTAAATGTACTCTATATAATAAAAGCTTCAGAGCAGCTGACTCAGCCAATCAGAGAGAGGCGTGGATCCAACATGGCCGACAGCGACGGAGGAAACTCACGGAGCCACAAGGAGCTGATGAAGAGGAGCAGAGCCAACATGGCCGCCAGCAGCAGGAGGCGAAGCAGCTTCATCCGTGTGAGGGGAACCGTGGTAACCACACACACACACACACACACACATATATATTAAAAAACAACATACACACACACACTCTTTCCCTTTAGCTCCTCAGTTAAAACAAGACTTCGCTGTCATCACATTCTCTCTCGTTGGGGTTAAAGGTCGTCTGTTGGTTCACTCCCACTGCTGCACACACACCTTCACACCTGACCCCCCCCCCCCGTCCTGTTTATCTCTGTTTTATCACACACACACACGCACACACCCACACACACACACACCATTCTCCGACTTCTTCAAGGTTTCAGCCCCGATAAGACCCTGTGGTTAGTTCAGGTGTCTGTAATAACAGTAGGACAGTCTGTGGT